TCGTGTGTGTGCCTACCTCGTGTGTCTGCCTTGTGTGTGTGTATGTATGTATGTGTACCTGCCTCACTGTGTGCTGCCTCACATAATGTGCCTGGTGGGCTGGCGGAGGGTTGGACTGCCAGGCTCCCAGGCTCCCTGTCCCCTTTTCCAGGAGATGAGAGCGGCAGTCCCCAGGAGGCATCTCCCAGCTGTAACAAAGCACAGCCAGCACAGAGCCCAGATGCCATTTTTGTCCCGTTACCACAGTCAGCTGGTGCTCAGAGTCAGACTGTGTGCCCTGGGCCTGGACTGAGGCCTGGCACCTCACACAGGAAACCGTATACCTGTGAGCAGTGTGGCTGCAGCTTTGGCTGGAAGTCGGTGTATGTCATCCACCGGCGTGTGCACATGAGAGGGCAACTCGCTGGCTGGGGCCCCGAGAGACTGTCGTCGAGCTCCCGAGAGTCAGCGCTCCAGCCCCAACGAGCACCTCTGGGGTCCCGCACCTACCTGTGTGAGGAATGTGGGCGCAGTTTCAGCTGGAAGTCACAGCTGGTTGTACACCGTAAGAGCCATGTTGGGCAGCGGCGGCACTGTTGTAAAGACTGTGGCCGCAGCTTTGATTGGAAGTCCCAGCTGGTCATCCACAGGAGAAGCCACAAGCTTGAGTTCTCGTGAGTAAACAGAAGAGATGGTCCTGGCAGACGCCAGCTGCCCTCCGCTCAGCCTGGCCGTGGGACACTCATGTGGTGGCAGAGTGTCTCAGCAAGCCAGGGGTCCCACACGGGTCCCCTGCAGCACACTTTATCAGGTCTGAGGAGAAGGAGCTTCTGTCTCCATTCAACTCCTGCGCTCTGGAATGAGGCCTGAGTGTGAGGCTGGAAGCTCTGGCCTGACTCACATCTCGGCTAAGCCTTTTGACAGTACAGAGAGAAGAAGGTGAAAGAAAGCCCTTCCCTTCGGCTCTGTGAAGTGACTGACCTCAAGGAGCAGAAGCTCTGGAGACCACAGGCTGGGTCCTCGCGAGCCTCCATTTTTAAGTTAGGGGTCTTTTTCCCCCTCCATAGTCCACCATCTTGAAAAACCCAGAGCTTCTAGATAAGAATCCTGGTTTCTGATTTCTTCTGAGGAGCAGGGCCTCTGGAAATGCTCTTCTGGAAGTGGGAGCTCCAGAACAGGACCAGCCCTGCATGTTCTGTCCCTGAAGTTGGCTGTCCTTTGTGCCTTGTTGCTTCTTCCCGCTAGCCCGAGTGCTGCTTATGCGGACAGTTAGAGGATTTCCTCTCCAGGCACAGGATAAACAAGGATGACCACCAAAAAGCGGGACCCATGAGTATCATGAAGTCAGCCAGTCTTGGATCAGGCCTTTGTTTCCACAAAATCAAGGATAATCTCAGGATCCTTCATTACCATCAAGGAGTTGAAGGATGTAAGGTGGTAATTCCTATCACATCCACATTTAACTTGCCTATTTATGTTAAGAAACCTGATGGATCTTAGAGAATGAAAGTAGTACTGAAATTTTAATCAAAGGTGACTCTGTCTGCAGCTACCATTGGAAAAGGGCATTGATTGCTTGAGCAGATGAATCCATCTCCTGGTAAATGCAGATACTGACAGGGCTTCTGCTGCTTTCTCCCTGTGAGAGGAACACTAGGAGCTGTTTGTAACTGGAAGGCCAGCAGCACAGATCCATTGTCCTACCTCGGTGTGTGGACTCTCCTGCCCTGCTTGGGAGTTCAGTTTACAGTACCTGGCCCCTTTCCCGTGAGCTGCACCCTGGGTCATTGCATTCTCCTGGCACTTCACCATTCCAGCCTAGTAGGAAGGAATGCCAATGACTTAAGACATTTTTGTCCTAAAGGGTGGGAAATTAACCCAATAGAAATTCACTTCCCTCTACCTCAGTGAACTCAAGGAGTCTGGTGATGGGCATTTTGTGCTGTGCCTTCTGAAGTGAAGGGTATGTTGTTGCATTTGGCCTGCAGCTTAAAAGGAGGCACACCTGGTGGACCTCTGGATTTTAGAGGCAGCATAATACTCTTTGGTCAGGTGGGTATGCTGACTTGGAGTAGGTGACTTGACTAGCTGCTGGTTTTGAGTGGTACCCAGAAGTCTCCTACCAGATTCATGATACCATTCAAGCCATGTGGGGCGAGTGATCCCGTGGTGGTGGGAGTGCTGATGGTGTCTGGAGACAAGGCTAGGCTTCTGCTTGTGAATCACAGCACAGAGCATCGAAAGGAAATTTCTCATCGTCCTCTGCAGGTGATGACACCAACTACTCACCAACAGGTTGGGATCTAAAGACGAGGTGATTAGAAGGAAGTTGGTGTTATGTGAACATGGGGGATGACTTCATCTTTATCTGACAAATTATCAAACCACAGAGGATCTTGGCTCAGCACTTTATAATGCCACCAACACAGCCAGCATTACTCTCTCCTAATTTGCTACTGCCAATGTCCATCAATTGCAAAATGGACAGGATTTTTTTTACTGTTGTCATAAATAAAGAATCTTGGATAATGAGATCACTGATAAGTGAGCAGTAGCTTGTTCTCTTGAGAAATAGTTTGACCTGTATTGGTGCTTGGTGTAGAGCGAAGGAGGAAATTGAGCCTCCTTCTGCAGCAGAGCATCCGATGGATTCTAACCGTGTGCCTTCATGATTGCAGCTACAGTAACACTCTTATTACACAGAATTGGTATACACGCGATCAGGGAGCTCTGGTGACCTAGTGAAAAAAAAACTGCATTGTAATTCCAAGGCACACGGTTCAAATCCACCAGCTGCTCCACAGGAGAACGATTGACAGTCTCTCACGCAGTTTACTGTCTGAAAACCTGCTGGAGGCTCAGCTATGGGCCGGTTCCACCTCGATGGTACACAACAACATATATGAGATCATACTCGAGCAGGACCTGAAGACCCAAGATGAGTGAAGTGGCTCTTGTCACATTCCCTTCCCTCTCCTAGTCAACCTGTGCCTTCAGGAGGGAGTTCCTTATGGTCCGTTGTCTGGGAAGAGAAAACTCAAGCTTGGTTTCCAGGTGGTCCTGCATGGTATGTAGATACCACCTGAAGTGGCAAGTGGCCCTGCAGTGCAGCCCTTTTCTGGGGTGTCCCTGAACACTGACAAAGTCCTCTCAGGGTAGAAGCTCAGGTGGTTGATCTGGTGGTTCACTTTGCTCAAAAGGCAAAATGGCCAGAGGTACAATTGTGTGTGTCTTCCTGGACTGTAACCAGTGGTCAGTCTGTATGATGGGTGACTTGGTAATGGCATGATTGGAAAATTGGTGACACAGAAGTATGGTAAAGGGACAAGGATAGGCCATAGAAGGGAAGATACTCCTGTCTCACGCAAATGTTCATCACGATGGTTATGCACGTGGATAGGATGATGATCTGTGAAACCAGTTATTCTTCCCTGGTCACTGCTTACTGGACTCGAGCCAAGTGACCCCAGTTGCACGATGGAAATTACACATGGGCCCAGCAACCAGGGCTGGTGTGTGGCTACGGCCACTGCTGAGTGCCTTATCTGCCGGCAGCAGAGCCCAACAGGCCTGAGACGCTCCACTCCTGGGACTGATCAGCCAGCAGGAGGCAAGGTGACTCCACTGCACGGTTTGCATCATTAGATGGTTCTTAGAAGGACAGACACTCTGGATATGGACACTACTGTTGTGTTACGGCGTCTCCTGTGACTCATCACGACTCTATGTACAGCGGATCTGAACCCTGCCCTATCCTGAGCCGATCTCACTGAACCCCATTACCCCAGCTAGCATGTCAATCCATCTCATCCGGGGTCTTGCTCTGCTGCGCTCTCCCACGACCCTTCCAAGCATGATGACCTTCTCCAAGGACTGGTCCCTCCTGGCCACATGCCCAGAGTATGTGAGACGGAGCTTCAAAATCCTCACCTCCAGGAGAAACTTGGTTTCACCCTCGAAGGACGGTACCCTCCTGCCCCAACTTACATGAATGCATTTCCACCATTATGCTTTTCTCATGGGGCCCCAGCAGTGTAGTCCTTGGCTACAATGCGTCCTTGCTGCAATGTGGAACACAAAACAGCACTTCTCCAGCACTTCAAATACACCAGGGACGCCAAAAGAGAAAGATGAACAGTCTCAGGAACATTGATAGCCTTGGAAGCCCAGTGGTAGAGTTGTTCCCACAGCACCATCTCCAGTTCAAAGGACTCACTTGAAGTATAGCACTATGCCCACAGTTAAGGACTTGACTGTTTTGACCTTGTAGCAGTTGGTTTGATAGAATGAGGAACTGGCCTTCTGAGAAGATGAGAGCGTCAGCGCAGTGGCAGTACTTGGCTAGTTGGGGCAGTGTTCTCCAGAAGCTTGTTTAGGCAAAGAAGGGAGTTTCTGTGTCAGCTAGTGACTTACTAATTACTGAGGAAATTAGATTAGCATTACATGAATAGAGTATGTCTGGTATATAGGTGACCTCCTACGGCATTTACTAGCACCGCCAAATCCTGTAAAGTCGGTAGAAAACTGCAGGAACCTACTTTGACACGATGATTAGTGGTCTAGACCCTTCAGGAATGAAGGTTTGAGGTCGCCTTTGAAAAACCCATGGCCAGCTGTGGTTCTTGCTGAGGGAAAAGAGACTATAGGTTGATGGCACAAAAGAGTCCTGAACAGCAGCTGTGAGCAGGTGTGGAAGGGAGAACATCTCTGTTAGGAGTCTCGGTGCCTTGTTTTAGTACGTATATGCACACTAGTCTCTGCTTTCCCTCATTTTTTATAGACGCAGATGGGTCTAACGCGTGTTATTTTGTACTTGTTTTGTCATACCAAGTGTATGCATGTATGGTTTTATAATTGTCTTTGGAGATTGTTAAGTGCCATCAAGTTGAATACAACCCATAGCTACTGTATGAGCAACAGATCTGAACCCTATCCTAACCTGTGGCATCCTCACACTTCTGACACACTGGAGCCCATTGCAGCAGTCACCATGTCAGTCCACCTGGTTGAGGGTCTTCCTCTTCACTGACCCTTTCGGAGCACCATGTCCCTCTCCAAGGAATAGCCCATCGTAGCAACATGCCTTAAGTATGCAATGTGAAGCTCTATCTTTGCTTTCAAAGAACACTCTGACTGCACCCTCTCCAAGACATACTTGTTTGTTCTTTTAGAAGTCCATGGGATGTTCAATGCTCTTCCCCAACACCACAACTCAAAGGCGTCAGTTCTTCTGTCATCCTTAGTCACTTAGATGCACAGAAAGTGACTGGAAAGACCATGGACTGAGTGAAATGCACCTTAGTCCTCAAAGTGACATCATCACTCCTCAACATGGAAATGTCCCTGACTGCAGACTTCCCCAGTGCACCACATCTCCTGATTTCCTGATCGCGGGTACCAAGGGTTATAGACTGGGTCTGAGTAAGACGAAGTTGTTGACAGTTCAACTTCTTCTCCATCTGTCATGATGTTGCCTGTAGGTCCATTGGTAAGAATTTTTTTATTTCTTTGATCTTCTGCAACCAATGCTTCAGGTTCACTCTCAACAGGCAAGGTTATGCCATCTGTTTAACACAGGTTATTGATGAGTCTTCCTCCAATCTTTTTTTATTTTTCATTATTTTTTGTATGTACCGTCAAATCAGATCTGACTTTCCTCCTTCTCCAGCAGAGCATCTGGTGGATTTGAACCGTGCATCTCTGAGATTGCAGTTTCTTGCCACTAGGCCACCAGAGCTCACCGTCTACCTCCAATCTTAATGCCACATTCTTCTGCATAGACTCCAGTTTCTTGAATACTGTGCTCAGCATACCGACTGAATAGGTATGGTGAGAAAATACAACCCTGCCACACTCCCTTCTTCATTTTACACCACTTTGTGTCCCCTTGTTCTTTTTACACAACAGTCTCCTGGTCCAAATACTGCTTTTATAAGAGCACAATTAAGTGCTCTGGGATTCCCATTCTTAATGTGAGCCATAATTTGTTACGATCCACACAGTCAAATATAGTAATAAAGCATAAATAGACATCATTCATCCAGGATTCATCTGACATCAATGAGAGCCCTGGTGCCATGGCCTCTCTAAATCATGCTTGAACTTCTGGCAGTTCCCTATCTCTGTACTGTTGTAGGTGTTTTTGAATGATCTGCAGTATTTTGATTTGTGATATTAATATTGTTTGATAGTTTCTACATTCTGTTGAATCACTTTTCTTGGGAATGGGAACAAATATGGACCCCTTCCAATGCATTGGCCAGACAGCTGTCCTCCAAACTTCTTGCATAGACTGGTGAGTGCATCCAAGGCTGCATCTGTTGATTGAAACAAGTGAGTTGGTTTCACCTCGATTCTAGGGCCTTGTTTTTTTTCCAGTGCTTTCAGTGCTCCTTCAGTTTCCTCCTTCATTACCACTGGCTTCTGCTCCTATGGTTCTTTCTGAAGTTCTTCCGGGTCAGCCAGTCCTTTTTGGTGCAGTGACTCTGTAGCCCCTCCATCTCTTGATGCTGCCTGGTTCATTCTTTGGAGATTAGACTTAAGCAGATGTGTACAGGTGCCACACTGACAAGGAGCAGACTGAGGCTGTTTCATCTCGACGTGGCTAACATCAGACTGATTGCTCTTCTGTGATGTGAGATGATCACTTCCCCGATGAGAACTGGTAAGAGCAGCCAGTAAATGGAAAGACGTTTTCTTGGGAGTATCCCCAGCCTCCTGTGTGCCAGTGGATATTCCAGCATGCACACACATGACCCAGCAGCATGGCACTTACCCTGCTTGTTTGGAGTGTGTCAGCCCCACCACCAGGTGAGTCAGGAGTTAGCTCCACCCCAATGCCTGACCAGGTTGGGGACTTGCCAGCCTCTTGAACTATGTGAAGCATTTCCTTGAGTCTGTACATACATATATTTAAGGAACCCTAGTGGCATAGTGTGTTACCTTTCGGACTGCTAACTGCACGGGGGGAGAAAGATGAAACTCTCTCCACCCACAAGAGTTTACAGCCTCAGAAACCCGTAGAAGGGCTGCATGAGTCAGAGTCAACTCAAGGGATTTTTGGTTATTCTATATGGTTTGGTTTGCAGTTTAGCAGAACAAGTGAAAAATGGCTATGCAATAGAGTTGAGAAAGAAGGACGGGAAAAGGACTCCTGGAAGGACAGAGGTGAAACCACCCCTACCAGCATGAAAAAGAGAGTAAGAGCGGGAGTGGTTATTAAATCTGTTCTGTAAGGAGCCCTGGTGGCACAGTGGGTTACGTGATGAACTGACGGAAAAGCCAGGGCTAGTTCCCCAACTGCCCTGAGGGGAAGGAAGAAGCTGTCTGGTCCCTTGAAGATCAGAATCTCTGAAATCTTCTCAGGTCCTCCGATGTGGAGTTGGCTTGATGGTACTGGGTTTGAGACAGAGATATATATTTTTTTTTATTTTCTCAGAAATGAGGACAGCAAGCCTCTGTCTCACATACTGTGAGCATATTTTCAGGAGTCAGTTACAGAAAAATAATATCTGGCATGCTTGAGTATAAGTGAAAAAGTGGAAGGTCCTGAACAAGACAGATTTGCACGGTGTGTAAAAAACGGGCTTGAGCTCAGCAACAGTGGTGACCATGGTACCATGGGTCTCATCGTTTTGCACACAGGGTTGCCACGAGTTAGAACTGACTCACTGGCTACTAAGAGCAGGATATATGCATTTACATATGAGTGTCTGACTGGTTCTGTGTTCTATAGAACTTGGCGTAAGACTCATTAATCAGAGTAGGGTAAGGATAGACCCACACATGGCTATGGGGAAGTTTTTAGATAAAGCTCTTCTTATTTGAGAAACTTTATTCCTAAAATAAGCATTTGTTTACTTAAAACTGAAGATGTAAAAGGGTGAAAGAAAAAGTGTGACAATGGTCTTGAGAGGCAGGCTGGTTCCAGGCCAGGGCACTTCTCTGTATATATCCTGTGAGTTTACCCGATCATGTTGAATTAGGCCTTCTTTCATCTTGCTTTTTCTTAGATTATTAAGAACTTGATGTTTTTATTATTTTTAATTAATTTTAATGAAAGTTTACAGAGACTTTGGATTTCCATTCACTTGTTGTTGCACTTTTCTCCCTGCCCACCCCTCTCTCCCCAGTTCTTCTCTTTGAAAAGTAAAATCCTTTCATTTGTTAGACAATCCCTCCCCCCAGGTCCACTCCACTATGCAGCCTTCCCTCTGGACTCCTGTCATGACAATAATACCTGATCATATATCATTTTAAACAGTTTTCTCCCTCATGTGTTTCAATGCAGTATACATAACTTATCCTCTTTTTCTCAGTCTCCCCCCTAACCCTGCTGTCAGTCCTGTTTTACAACAGTGGCACCATACAGTATTTGTCCTTTCGTGACTGAGATATTTCACTCAGCATAATGTCCCTCCAGGGTCACCCATTTTGTATAATACTATGAGTTGTTTTTCAGTGCAGCATAGTATACCATTGTGTGTATATACCACAGCTGCTCTATCCATTCGTTTGTTGATGGCCACTGAGGTTGTTTCCAACTCCTTGCTATCGTGAACAAAGCCACGACAAACCTGGTGCATGTATCTGCTTGCATGGCGGTTAGGGTCTCTGGGGTATATTCACAGTACACAAATGAAGTTCTTGTATTCCATTGAGAGTCCTGGCTAGCTTGCTCATTAGGGACGGTGTCTGGCACTCCATTGAGTGCAAATCACGTGTATCAACTCTTAATGACGGGTTGGTCGATTTTGCCATCCCCGTAGTGTTAAAATTAGTCAACCCAATGGCAAAAAAATAGGACTTCATGACCACCAGCTAAGAAGAGCCAGGAGTGGAGTGACTCTTGGACTCAGAGCTTTAGCACTGAGAGAGACAGTACCCTGTGACACCAACACTAGAGCTAGCAGGAAATAGTGACAGAAAGCAGATGCAGCAGGACCAGGTGACCAGCAGGAGATGGTGAGGTGGCCTAAAGTGAGGTGTTTATAAGCTTTTAGGGAGGAGGTTTGCTGGTGGAGTAGGGCACCTCTGAACATTTATGTGTGGAACTAGAGAGCTTTTAACCATTGCGTAAGCAGGTTATAGGTAGGGGCAAAAGGGTAAAAAGCTGACCAGGAAGAGGCCTAGTTTTTGGCATAGCTCTCAGAAGCTGTCTTGATCGAGTTTTGATGCTAAATGGTATTATTTCTGTAATATAAACTCCATGAGTATGGTCAGTGTGTTCTATGTGGCTACTCCAACAGATTAGTCAACCCAGCAGAGAAGTAGAGTGCCCTGGGAAGGAGAGCTGTTATGAGAATGAATGAAAGGACTGGGGAAAGGAGGGATGTCTGAACACTGCCACACAGAAATCAGCCTGGGGTTGTTGATGCTGATGATTCTCTTCCTCTGAGTGAAATTAAGAGGCCGAGAACACTGACACCAAGGCATTTTTACAGAGGAACCAGCCACCTCCACTGAGCCCCCTCGGTGACTCAGTCCCAGTCCCATCTTTGCACCCTGGGTTAGCTCTGAAGCAGGGAAGATCCTCTGTATAGTCTGTCCACTCCCACACAGGACCACCGTCCTCCAGGCTGACTGCAAACCTCTGCAGAGACTAGGAGAGGGCTGATAGGTGCCCTTCCATCTAGGAAGACATGCAAGTGTCAGTAAACATGAACTTATTCTTTTTTTTTTATTTTTTTAAAATATTTTTTTGTGTGAGTGTACCGTCAAATCACATCTGACTGGTACAGGAGGAGATTGTCCCTCCTTTCCCGGCAGAGCATCTGGTGGATTCGAACCGTGCGCCTCTGGGATTGTAGTTGCAGCTCTTTACCACTAGGCCACCAGAGCTCCCCGAACTTATTCTTTTTCTGTACCCAGGTTCAGTGTCCTCACACAGTGTGTTGGGGGTGTGATCAATTTGGGATTCATGCAGGTGTAGGGTAGAGGTGATACTGGGGGCTGGGGTGGGTGGTCAGCCTGGTGCCTTGCTCCTTCGGATGTCCTGTGGGTCTACCAGGTGATCAGAGCCTCCAGGTTCCACTGCACACAGCTTCATATATGTCTGGTGTGAGGGGTCTGAAGGCTTGGGTCTGGTGGTCCATTATGAACAGAGGATCTGTGATGATGCTGACATTGAAGCCTTCACGCACCAGTCGAGACTTCACCAACTTGAAGGTACCTGTCGTCTCCAGGGCATCCTGCATGGATGGTGGTGACCTTAAGTCCCTGGTGGTGACCTGGCATCCCCTGCCCCCGCTGTGAGACCTCGGCCCACTTGATCTGGCTGACCAGGGCTTACCTGGATGCGGATGAAATGAGGGGCGGCGAAGGCAGGGAGCCAAGCACGGACGTACTGGTACAGCTGCTGCCCGTCGAACGTTCGGCCGGGGGCCAGCTGCAGCGCAGCCATGCCCACCTTGCCCTCACACCCTAGGAAGTACATCAGTCACTACTGCCGCCTGTTGTCCCTGCCTCGTCTACAAGCATCCGCGGAAATGACCCCTTGCCCACTGGGCAAGTCTCTACACGTCTCTGTCCCCTCATTGTCCCACTTCCACACTGGGAGTAACAGCCCTCCCTCCGAAAGGCTGCTGCGTAACAGGACGAGGAGAGCCTCCCACACCTGGCACCGACACGCCGTAGACATTCACGTCCTGCAGGAAGTCCACGAGGGACAACACACTCTCCACTTCTCGCGTGGACACGTTCTCCCCCTTCCATCTAGGAGGCAACCAGCGCCTGTGAGCAAGACCCTGGGAGAGGGAAGGGCCCTGCCCGCTGGCCAAGCCCCACTGCCTAAGGGACATCCGTGCTCTGCCCGCCCTAAAACCCTGGAGCCCGGTTTCCCCATGGCTGTGCAGCCCTGCGTCCCCGGTCCCCTTGGCAACCACTAGTCCCGCCTTCCCAAGCCCCGCTTCCGTCAGCTTCAGGAAGTCCCGCCTTCCCAGCCCGGTTTGTTCTCGGAAGTGGCTGCCCCGCCCCCACCGGAGAGGCCCCGCCCCCACCGGAAGGTGTCTCCGAGGCGGTCGCGGAAGTAGAGGAAGCCTTCGCGGTCCAGGGCCAGCACGTCTCCGGTGTTGTAGTAAACATCCCCCCGGCGCTTCACGTCCCGCACTAACTTCCGTTCCGTCTGCTCCCGGGGGCCGCGGTAGCCCGTAAAGGGTGTCAGTTTTGTCACCCGAGTCACCAGGAGCCCCGCCTCCCCTGGGTATCGGAGTAACCGGAAAAATCAAGAGTGAAATTAATGACTATGAACAAAACAAAATTCCCAGCAATTCATCAACCCCGGGCCCGTAGCGCTTTCCAACCACGTGAGGTCTCCATCACCCTGGACCATGCCGGAGACACTGCGATAAAGACCCCGAGATTAGGCGAGAAGGACTCAGGACAGCAGACAGATACTCAGAGATGAGGGGAGAGTGCGACCCCCAGAGACGAAAAGGCGTCAGAGGGAGACGCAGGAAAGAGCCAAAAAAGGCAGTGAGATGGGCCCCACGGCCACTGCCCCTCAGCGTGTAGCCTCTGGTGACCACTAACCCCCCTTGTGATGAGACATGGTGCCCTGTAGATTACTTCCAGAAAGCCCGGTCTCAAACCGGCTTGAATCTCAGCCAGGAGCATGCATGTACTTTCCCACGCAGGGACCAAGCTGCCTGCCAGGGGACTCGAACTGGAGACCTTGATGCACCCCGCGTGCTCACCATCCGGTACTAAGTGCTATCTCTTGACCCCAGAAGCCTCTCTAATAGCCTGCGTGTTCCACAACAGCAGTGCCCACAGTTCCAGCTATTGATAGGGGCCATTTCCCAGTTTCCCACATTCCTTTAAGAGTAAACGTGGAACCACTTCTCACCTAAGTCCTTGTTGTTATGTGCTGTTGAGTTGGCTGCGACCCATAGAGACCCTATGTGGCACAGCTCTGAAGCCTGCCCTGTCCTGAGCCAGTCTTAATGTCTCTGACACAACTACCCCTGTTACTCCAGTTACTGTGTCAGCCCATTTCAGACAGGGTCTTCCTTTCTTAAGTTGTCCCTCCACCTTTCCAAGCATGACCTCCTTCTTCAAAGACTGGTCCCTCCTGGCCACATGCCCAAAGTGTGTGAGACAGAGATTCAAAATCCTTGCCTTCAAGGAACAACAGCCTGGTTTCAGCCTCTCCAGGACAGACATGTTGCTTTTAATACTCTTCTCTAGTACCACAACTGAAAGGATTGATTCTTCTTCTGTCATCCCTAATCACCGTCCAGCTCTCGAATGCATAGCAAGTAATTGTGAAGACCATGGCTGGAATCAGATGCACCTTAGTCTCCAGACTGACATCGTTGCTCTTTAAAAATTTGGCGAGGTCCCTGACAGCAGATTTTCCTAATGCAATTCATCTTTTGATTCCTGACTACTGGTGCCAAGAGTGCTGATACGGATCCAAGCAAGCTGTAATAGTTAACCACTTCAATCTCCATCTATCAGTGAGGCTGATAATGATGCCAGTAAGCCCCTAAAATTCATCTGCTCAGAGAGCCATGAGTAAGCTTTACTTTATCTTTCCATTTCTCCCTTGGAAAAACAGTTTTACTTTGCATTTTCCCTAATAAACATTTTCCCATACTTGCATAGAAAATCTTAAGACTCCTGTTTCACTATTCGTACTTATCAGAAGAACCTGAAATGGGAGAAGTATATTGAAAGAAGTATACTTGGTGGCTACATTCAGATATACTCTAGCAACAAAGAAACCATGAGAACTGGAAACCATAAGAAACTGGAAAAGAACAACAAGGAATGAATTTAACTGAGAGACAAGAAGTCAAGGGAGGAAATGTTTAGAGCCTTCCAACACTCCAGAAGGGAAGATGCAAGAAGAAAATTCGGGCGTTCATAAATGTAGCTATTAGCAAGATGATTGTAAGGGGGGAAAGCCCATGAATGAAATACAATGTAAGTGTATACAAATGATTGTATAAAGCACAATGGACATGCATGAAACACAGTGTATATGAATGATAAAAATATCAATTTAAAAATATTTTTTAAAAAGAAAGTCTAAGGGAGCTCCGGTGGCCTAGTGGCAGGAAGCTGCCCTGCAATGCCAGAGGTGCACAGTTCAAATCCACCAGATGCTCTGCTGGAGAAGGAGGGACAATCTCCTTCTGTACCAGTCAGATCTGATTTGACGGTACACGCACATAAAAATAACAAAAAAAAAATTTAAACAAATTTAAAAAAAAAAAAAGTCCATAACAAAAGGAGACCGGAGACTGCCAGGACATAATTGTAACAGATTCCTCAGGAGAACAATTTAGAGCCAGAGGCCTGAATGAGAAACAGACTGTGGGATCTGAGCAAGAGCCCAAGGGCAGAAGGATGGCTGCACAGGGCAACTCTTAGGTTCCTTCCTGGTTACAGCCTAGGGAGAACTGAGGGTCTACACCTAAGGAGCAACTTAGATTCCTAACGTGAAGGAAGTTACCCAGAGTCTATCAGGTTAGTAGCAATACTGGCTCACACTGGTGGGTGTTGGGGCTCTGGGCTGCTAGTTCTAGCTGCAAAGGAGCTTGAGGACTCCCACCACTCCACTACCCAGTCAGAGTGTCCTGAACCCCATACCTGGCTCCACAGGGATGCAGAGGCCTCGATCGTCCCTCACAGGCTCCACAGCTTCTGTGTCGAACCGAAGAAGCTCAAAAGGGGTCAGCAACTGGGACAAAGGGCAAGGAGCGGTTAGGGGAGTCCCTGGGGCCTTGGCCCTCATCAGGATCACTGCTTGAGCACCGGCCCTACTCACTCGAAGGAGGAAGCTCATCTTGCCCATGGCCCCGCAGCGCCCCACATAGTTGACGAAGCCGCAGTTACCCTCCGTGGAACCGTAGCATTCCCAGATCCGAATAGGCCCAAAGCGCTGCTGGAAAGTCTCCCACACTTCTTTCCGGAGTCCAATGCCCACTGCCACACGGACATTGTGTTCACGGTCATCTGGCCGCTGTGGACATCCGACAAGTGCGAGGAAGAGGCACGCTAGGGCATGCCCTTGCCTCAGGGGAGGTACCTAGCAGTCTACCTGGGGCCCTACTCTAAGTAGTTCCTGGAATGAAACAGAGGGACTTGAGGGTTGACCCTAAAGGAGGTACTTTGGCTTCTCAATGAAGGTGCTTACCTGGAGCCTTTATCTGGAGGGGAGACCTGAAAGGTTTGCTTGAGAGAAGTTACTTGGGGACCCTTATCTGGGACAAATAACCTGGGAGGATTTTACCTGAGGGCCTTACCTTATGTGAAGTTACAACCTAGGGCCTTTAAAGTAGGGGACCTGAACATCTAGGATTTTATCATCAAGTAGTTCCCTGAAGGGACAGCTCTGTAAGGGTGAGACTGGTTCGAAGTTATTGAGTCACACTTGCAATAGACTCTGCATGTATTTGAAACCAGCTCACCTTGAATTGCTCCTGACCCAATGGCCCTGCGCGTGTCACAGCAGGCCTGCATTTCCCAGGGCTTTCCCTGGCTGCGTTCCAAAGGATGACCACCTCACTCTTCTCCAAGGTGCCTCTGATGGACTCAAACCTCCAACCTTGTGGCCAGCAGCCAAGTGTATTAGCCATATGCACCACCTAGAGACTCCTTCATAGAGTTAACTCATTTACTTCTCACAGCACTCACAGGGCTAGGAGATACTGTTATCCAAACAAGGACAATGGCGCTGAGACAGGTGAGGTTATCTGCCCAAGTTAGTACGACACGTCATTGAATGGGCCATAGTCAGGTACTGTGTGTGGGACTCCCTATAGGGGGCTGTTACTTGGGGTGTGTTAACTGAGGGGTCTTGCTTAAATCAAGCACTGTGGTCTTTACCTGAGACTTATTTGAAACGCTATCTGAATGTCTGTCCCAGTGCTCACCACAGGATCCTAATCTTAGAGCCTTACCTGAGGTGCATTACACAGGTACCGCAGTAGTTCACCCACGTATAGGATCACAGACACACGATGTTTCCGACAGTCATCCCAGAAGCAGGAGACAGAGAACTTAGGTGCCAGGATGCAGGTGGCTCCTAACGGGGTGGTTAAGCAGTTGCAGGTCATGTTTCAAAGCTACTGCAAGAAGCTTCTTTGATCATCAGAGTGTGGTGTCCTGGACCCCAGGGACCATTTTGGGCTCTACCCTGGGTCTGTGGTCTAGACAGGATTGCGCTCATGCAAAGAGCCCAATGATGACCCAGCACTGGTCACGGACAGGACGGGTTCGATGCCCACCAGCATGTGTACAAAGGCTGCTTGGTAGAAAAAGCGCACCTACTCACTGAGGACTGCAAATCCCACCCCCTCTAAAGATGGCGAGGGCTGTAAGAAAGCCCAGGTTGTTGACGGAGGGCACTGAGTGTGAATGGGAAAGATCTCAGGACTTTCTCGGAAATACAGTTTGAACGTGTGTGTGTGACAAGGTAGGTGTGTGGGTGAGTGAACAAATGGATGTGTGGGTGGGTGGGTGGAAGAGAAAGGAGATCACTGGGCAGATGAATGAATGGATGGGTAGGGAATGGATGTATTTAAGGTTCAATAGAAATGAATTAAAAAGGTAACAAAAAGCATGTGGTTTCCATAGTTTAGATTCCAATTCTTGGTGTTCCCATGTGTGTCTGAGAGGGAGTCCAATGCCTGCTTTTTAAGGTTGGAGACAGCTAACCGTTTCTCCCAACGTGCCTCTGGACGAGTCTGAGCTTTGATATCAGCTGACCCAGACAACCATTTGTACCACACAGAGACTTTTTTTTAAAGGCAACTGTGACGGGTTCAATGAAACAAGGAGAGCAAAACTGTTCCTGGTGGTTGCAACTGGATGGTGAGTACAGAGCACTTAGCTATGTTGTGTTTAGAAATTTACTGCAGGGCAAGTGATTTTCTCTTCTTACCATCATCTTTGTAACTCCTACCAAATGACTGTGTAGGACTCACTCAAACAAAGGTACAAGCAGCCAATGGAGGGAATTGGACAGATTGCCAATCATGTAGATGGGCATCCTTTTGGAGAGAAACCACACACATAGGGTGTGTGGAAACTGGATGAAGAGGTTTTGCTCTCTCATCAGCCTTAAAATGAACAATCCTGCCAATGGAAAGGGGACTCTCACTGCCACCAGGAAAGAAGAGACAGGTATAGATTTGACCTTCCTGCACTGACCCTCCTGGACCTAGGAAGCAGACTCACATCAGAGAGAGGGCAAGAAAGGGGCAGCAGAACAGGAGACCAGCCTGAGATAAGTGGTGGGTCCCCCAGTGTAAACCCTGATGTCTTCAGGTAGAAGGCTTAATGGAGTGAGTATGCTTTGGGGGACTTCGTTCACAGAATTAAAATGATCTCTAACACTTTCCCAGTCAGGGCAGCAGGAAGGCCATGAATTCGAGAGGCTGAGGTCCAGAGCGAGGCTGGTCTGCAGGAATAGTTTTGCTCAGAGGACTGTATGTTGAGTCCTTCCTGATTCTGAACTCTGAAAGCTGTTACGTCCCTAATGAACTCTGTAAGTCTGTGTGGCTGAGGGAGAAATGACAGGTGTCAACACTCAAGAACACGCTGGAGGTGAAGCCAGTGTGACTCTTCTCACAGGAACAGGTCCTGGGCTGGGGCTGACGGAGAGTCCTCACAACCTCAGCTGCCACATCATAGCATCTGTACTTTTACATAATGAAAATTTGGGAAAGGAAAAAAACCAAAACAAGAGAGACTGAGCAGAGTCCTCCTATGAAATCCAAGCATGATGTCCAGGAAGACAACATTCCCTCAGTGCTGCTCTTGCATACCTGTGTCCACCACCACTGGGGACTGGCAGGCGTCACGCCTCTCACATGGCCCCAGGACTCTACTCCTGTCTTTGAGAATCTGAGGTGCTGCGTAGCCTGTAATGTCTTGTCAACTTGACCGCCTCACCCCAGAGCCCAGGCTGGGAATCTGCAGGAGCAATGTCCTCAGGGATGGGCTTACCGAGGTCCAGACAAGCAAAGATTCCCAGGATGAGCCCCATCACATGGTACAGAGGCAGGGTCACGTAGATGACGTCGCTGGCTGTGATCCCACACATGGGCAGCATACTAAACAGCTGTAGCAGCCGCTGATGCGTGAGGATGACGGGTTTGGGGAGTCCTGGAGGACAGAGTAGGAAAGGTGGGCTCGTGATAGGACAACACCAGAGCAGAAGGGATCAGGGTGTACTGGCAAGTGGTCTGAGAGCCCCACCACCAGGGTTGTCCTGGGCATTGAAGATCTCAGCGTGTAATCAAGGATGGGGATTCATGGCCTCCTGACTCAACAACAAACAGTGCTACAAGATAATCAGTAACTTCAAGGACGAAGGAACTCCTTAAACAGCCAATCAAACAAGATCAAAAGGGCAGCATTTCCAGGGGGAAAGCTCAGAGGACAGGAAAGGAGGATGAACTGACTGGAAACGTGCTGTGACCACCTGGGGATGGTGACCCATCTCAAGAGGTATAAAGTGTGTGAATCGTTGAGTGGAAAACTGCTTTGCTACATAAATTCTCACTGAAATCATAACAAAAATTTGAGACCTTGAAGAAAGAGGGCTTCAGCAAAGACTTGGGAAAACGAAAGGCACATTTCATGTTCAGTACAAAATTAAAACAGGTAAGCTTATAGACCTGGAGAACTTCAGCCTCTGATATCCTGAGACAAGCACAGCTAGGTGGTGCCTGGCCACCTCTGCTGACCACTCTAAAAGGAGTAGAAATAGAAGGTCCTGGATAGATTGAAATAATTAATCCCCTGCGGCTGAGTCTGAAGATACTCGAAACTGAACCTGCAGAACCTTCCATGGAGCTGCTAGTGGTTCAAACTGCCACCAGCACAGCTCCCTATAAACTATGCCAGCAAACTCCTGGTCCGGGATGAATGGCTGATAAATGTATATTGATAAATATCAATTACAACAGGCTTACAAAACCGAGGGGTGGAACCCCAATCCCAGGGCCTCAGGCCGCTCTTTGGTTCTGGAACTCAACACAGCCATGTGTCCTGAACAACAGACAGATCTAGAAGGTGAATGATAACCCCAAGAAGGTCTAGATTCTACAACACTCAACCACACAGGGGCTCAAGGATACAATTCAGAAGACAAGAAGGGAAAGGAAAACAGAACAAACCCTAACAAGAGCAGCGTCAGAGGCAAGTCTGAAACAAGGTCTGCATAAATGCCCTGCAGGACCATCATGCCGGGCACTTACCGGTGGTTCCTGATGTATAAATGTACAGAGCAGGGCTTCTGGGCGTGACCCCTGCCCGCAGGTGGGCAGGCACAGGGTCCGAGGGGGCAGCGTCCATCATCGCCCCCAGAGCCCCCACATGTTGTGTTGGGGACGAGTTGCTGAGGTAGAAGCAGTGGATATTCTCTGCTTGCAGCTTAGGGAGGATCTCTTCCAGACTGTCCCGGAGGTCTGCAGGAACCAGTAAGAGGGTAAACTGAGGCATGACCCACTGCTGTGACCAAAGGTGGAGAATCAAGACCCAGAAACAGGCTCAGTAGCCGGAGGAAGCAGTGAGAAAAGCTGACATTTCGGGGGGACCCACTGTCACCAACCAGTAGGTCCACTCAGTGACAGACAGCAGAGCTAGATGCCTTTGTCCAGTGGACTGCCATGTCTTCTGTGGGGCCACAGATGGGCACTCACTAGCCACCTTTCCCTTAACAGCCCAATGCTTAAGGCCCACTGCCCACCTGGGGCTCCCTTTCTTATGGAGAACCCCACAAGTGAGATTCTCTTAAGCAAGGAGGATCGTGAAAAACCACCAGGAAGCCCCTGAGATGACGGCACTGACAACTTTAAGGTCAGCCCTGACGTCTGGAGAGCAGAGAAGCTATGGGCCAGCAAGGGCCTGTCCACCATCATTGTTCCCTGGCCAATCCTGACCCCTCCCTTGCCCCCGTGGGTCCTCACCTGGGTCTACCACCAGCACCTGTGCTCCAGAGGTCAGCACCGCATGGACCAGAGGTGCTCCACGGCTGTGAGGATTGAGCCAGGCAGTGGGGCAGCCCAGTTTGGCCAGGCCCAGACATACGCCCAGCGCGGGGACAGCCTTGGAGGCCAGTGTCAGGAGGGCAGCTGGCTCCCCGGCAGGCAGCTTGGCCTTCAGGGCCCATGCAGCCCGGCACGCCTGGGCGTCCAGCTCTCTGTAGGTGACCTTATGGTCCGTAGGCCCAGAGCACACCAGAGGCACGCTATCCGGCTGTACTCGTACACGCTGCTCAAAGGAATCCACAAAGGTGTGCGGCGGCTGGCGCGTCATTCGCCTCTGTGCCTGCAGTCCCAGGACGACAATCCGGACCACAAAGGCTACGTCGGCCAGCAGCCAGCGCAGCCCTGGGGGCGGCCTGGGCGGCAGCAGGACAAAAAGCAAAGCCGACACCGCAAAGCTGTGCCAGGGGGGCAGCCAGGGCCCGAGCCAGGGCCATGCCAGGAGAGCCATGGTGAGCAACACGCCACAGGCCAGGTCCCCCAGCAGCCAACGCCCAGCCAGGGCCCCCAGCGGCACCACCGACAGCCCCTGTGAGTGCAGCAGGGCCAGGGCCAGGGCCAGGGCCAGGAGCCTCGGTCCGACGTCCATCACCCTAGCTTTTGGAATGGCAGCCACTGGCCTTCTCACCTGCGGCCCGCTGGTCACTCTGACCTCTGATCCTGGGCAGCCTGCCGGAGTTGTGGAGAGTGGTGTCCCAGGATTCTGCAGGAACACCGTGTTTGTGTTGTCCTGCTGGGAACACGGCTGGGCTGGTTTCCAGGATCACAGTCCTCGCCCGCCTCTAAGTCCAGCGGCCTCCTTTCCTTTCTCTGCCACTATTCCCTTGCGGAGACCTGTCCGGTTTCTAGGTACCATCAGCCCCCACTTCCTAAGGTCCCTCACTTTGTCCTGGGGTCCCTGCCTCGAGGCCGGCATCTCCCACACCTAGCAGGTTCAGGTTAAATCTATTATCGAAATTGGAAATCAAATGTGACTACACATCAGCCTTGCCAGGTGTAGATCACAGTCCAAGAGGTGGTGACCTCAGTGGACCCTGAGAAGGTGACCTAGCAGGCGCCACAGTCCACAGGACCCTAAGCTTGCACTGTGGAAGGAGCAGGGCTGGAGTGCAGACCTGGGGCACAAGCCCAGCCTCACCCCCTGCCAGGTACACAGGGTTCAGCAGGGCAGCGTGGAGTCAGAACTCCAGCTCTGTGGACAGGGGATTTGTACATAACTGGACAGGGGAGACCCTGGATTTTAACAGTATGAGGGACAGGCTCTCGGCAGGGCTCCAAATGACGTAGGACCCCGAGGTCATGTAGCTGGTTAACACAGCTGGGCCTGCCCCGCCGGCTGCCCTCTCCTCCCACACCAGCCGCTGACCCACAGGTGTGGCACCCGAGTGGTACGCGCTGCCCACAGTGCTAGACAAGGAAGAGGGGTTCCTGGGCAGCAGCCAGGCAGATAATGTAGCCCATGAGACTGGTCATCTTGAGCCACACACTGGTCCAGGAAGCCCAGTTACTGCTCATAACCCATGTGGCCACTTCCTCAGAGCTTGCGCTCCCAGTGGCCAACAGAGCTGTCCCCCAAACCCAACTGCCATCAAGTGGGTTCTAACGCACACCAACCTGACAGGGCAGAGTAGCACCAACTACCCCACAGGGCTCCCAAGGGTATCATCTTCAAGGAGGCCGGTGGTCCTACAGGACTGCTGGGCTCCCACTGCCAGCCTTTCCCTTAGCAGCTGAACCCAGAAAGTCCAGTGTGATGGACGGTTGTGACTCATCACAACCACATACAAGGAGGCAGAACCACCCATGGTGTTTCCAAGGCTGCAGATCTCCACAGCAGCAGTGGACAGGGGAGAGGATCTGAACCACTAGCTTCCTGATTAACACCCAAACTCTCTGGGCCAAAAGCAAATTACTCCACACACCTGTTAGAATGGTGGTGGTCGGATGATGGCTGAAGCACTCCCACAGCTCAGCTGGGGGTCTCAGGAGTACAGTGAGGGGTATCTGAGAGGGTGGGAAGCAGCCAGAAGTTTCCCACCAACCACTGTGGACGGGGTTATTCGCCTTCTCCCCAAAGAAAAGAGAGCTTCAGAACCAGCCCCATTTATTCCTCCTCCTCCCAGAACCGAGGACCAGGACGCAGCAGGACACTGACGGTGGACAGACACGGAGGGCTGTGCCAGAGCAGTCCAGAGGACACACCCACCCACTGCCACAGGGCTTCGCGGCTCAGGCCCAATGCCCATCGTCTTTAGCATGTCCTGAAGCCCGGCCCCAGGTCTTCACTGGGGCCACTAGAGTCCCTCAAGCATACAATGAAGTCAGGGTCATCTGGTGATGATAGGTTACACACTCTTAGCCCTTTCCCATCCATGCTGGGAGCAGAGAGGGATGTAAACCAGGGCTGAGGTCAAGGCTATGAGCCTGGCTGAGTTCTGAGGTGGCTGGGTTCCTGAAAAGTCCTAGCATGTGGGAAGAGCTAGGCAAGGAGGGCTGGCCCCATCCATCACGTCCGGAGAAGGGGCGCAGGCAAGGGAGACCTGTGCTCAGGGTTTAGCAAGGTTGGGCTGGGGGGGGGGCCCTGGCCATGGCAGGGACCCAGCTCCGCAGAGGCGTGGTCTCCAAGGAATTCGTGGTCCCATCGTGGCGGGCCAGCCAGCAGCCCTAGCTCTAGTCTCGCTCTGCACCAAGGCGCAGAGTGGCCACTTCAGGGAGCCGTGTGCGTGGCCAGGTGGCGGTCAAGGAGGGCGCGGTGGGAGAACACCTTGCCGCAGGCCGGGCAGGGAGCGCGCTCGGGGCGGTGTGTGCGCATGTGCACGTTCAGGGAGCTCTTCTGCGTGAAGCGCTTGGCACAGACGGCACACTGGAAGGCGCGCACGCCAGTGTGCGTGACCATGTGCTTGAGCAGGTAGTCACGCAGCGAGAAGGATCGCCAACACACGGCACACTGGTGAGGCTTCTCCCCTGCAGGCAACAGCAAGCCCGTGTCAGAAGCCAGGACCCCTCATCCCCTCCCCGCGTTCCTCCTGGCCAGCAGGGACCTCCCTCTCACCCCTAGCACTGTTCCTCGGAACCCCCAACTCCCTCCTTCCCGCAGCCAGGGCTGAGGTACCCAGTCCACAGCACACGGAGACCACTACACCACAACCTTCTCCCACTCTGCTCTGGAGCTGACGGCAGGAACACTGGAAAGAAAGGCCCCAGGCCGCCTTCCTCCAGGAAGTCTCTGCACCCAGAGCTCCTGTATGCTCTAACGTCTCTGACTTGATAGGACCAATGGGTTGTACCCTCACCCCAGGTAGGAGAACAGGGAGCAGGTTGTATCCCTCACCCCTGATGACAGCAGGGGGTAGCCTGTACCCCTAATCCTGATCAGAGAGCAGGCTGTACTCCCACTCTCATCAAAAAGCAGGATGTAGGCTATACCCCCCACCCTGATCAGAGGGCTGGGGTCAGGCTGTATTCCCACTACCGTCAAAAAGCAGGACTGTCGTCTGTCACCTTGACCAGCAAAGCCACCATGAAAGAACTCCAGCGGCAGACACCCTGCAGTCTCCCCTCCCTGAGCCTCTGTCCAGTGTCCTGACTGCCCGTCTGTCCGAGGTGCC